TCGTTAGAAATGAACTTTAACAGCAGAACAGTGCTGATACAGTACTGGGTGTCCGTTCAAAAACCATACCTAATCCTTTCCACTGAAGCTTTGAAGGTACTCTCCATTTTTCATCTTCATATCATTGTGAAGTTGGATTTTCAGCAATGGTAAGAATCAAAAAAAAAAATTCCGAAATAAACTTCAATTGTCAAATTCCTTACGCTTGAAACTAACCTACATTGATGTTGATGTCAATGCCATTCTTGACAGTAACAAGAAACAAACACATCCTTCACACATGCCTCATTATTAATCAATTAGATAGCATTTATAAGTTCTGGAAATGTTATTGAAAATACGTGAGTATTTTTAAATGTAATTGAAATACGTGAATATGAATAAATAATATTTTTTATATTCTTTCATATGTTTTTGCCCAGTAAATTTGAGTGGGTCGCCATAAACTGTGGTCATGAATAGTGGGTCGCGATTCTAAAAAGTTTGGGAACCCCTGCTATAGACAATTGGTCGAAATATGGCCAAGAAATGGATCAAATTCCTAAAATTATGAGTTTATTTAACCTTTTGACATCCCCCCCTAAAATTACCAAGGACGGACATATCCAACATTTTTGTTTGTAAATTTATGAGAATGATAAAGAAGTATTTTTGTACTAAAATCCCATGTACATTGGCTGAAATACGGCAGAATAATTGTCAAAAAACTCTGAAAATATTATGCTTTTTGTGGCATCTCGACCCCCCCTATAATTTCTAAAAATGATGAAGTCCAACATTTTTGTTTGCCAATGTGTGTTGCTTGTAGAAAAATATCTGTTCCAATTTTCATGCAAGTTGGTCAAAATATGGCCGAGTAATTGACCCCAAACCGCAAAATTATGCTTTCTTTGTTAGTTCTGACTCCCCTAAAACTTAAAGTAAGTAAATCCAACGTTTTTGTATGTCAGTGTGTTATGCGCATGAAAATATATATTCTTGCCAATTTTCATCTTGATTACTGTAAATATGACCGCACAGGAGTCTAAAATATATCATAAAATCCTTAAAAAGGCCTAAATCAAAAACTGAAAATATATCTGGACGTATTGTAACAAGGTAAAACCATACGAAGTTTCAAATCAATCAACCGAGAAATGAAGGAATGGTAGTCGATTGAAATAGATTTGGAAAAAGACAAAAAAAAGAAACAATAGAAAAAACAATATGTCTTCCTGCGGGGAAATAATTAAAAAATACGATAAAGTTGGCAGTGATAGGGTGTGTAAAACCCAAAGCTAAATGATTTGAAAATAGCACTTTTTGTTAAATATTTTAAACAATGGACTGAGTATAGCCCAGTGGTTGGTGTGTCGGATTATTTATAGACTGTGGGTCTAATGTTCGCGTCTCGTGATATTATGATATGTTATAAAAGTTACAGTCAAATCCCACTATTCGGTTAGAAAAGGTTTCAAAAGTTGGTGGTGTGGTACTGTTGACTAGCGATCTTTCCTCCAGTCTTATCTTTCAAAATTAGGAACGGCTAGCTCAGATAATTAATTCTTGAGAAGATTTTCGCGAATATCTGAAAAGAAACAACAATTTTTTGCAAAATAATATTGATGTTTAGGTTTTATCACATCCAAATTACAGACGTTATCCTAGTCATCTCGTGAATCACGGTTTTAGGTCTTGTTTTTCATAAGGCCTGGAATTAATGAGGTTCTTTAAATAAAACATATGATCTGGATATTTTTAGTCTACATTAGTTTGGATGAAATGCCACCAGTGAAGTTCTTATAGATAGCAATTATATACATGACCTTTTGTTTGTGACTTAGAAATCCTAGGTTTGTTTCGTATGTAAAGAATGGCTAATTTGTAAAACGATCGATGGATCTAAGATGTACACTACAGAGACAGATAGTTCATAAAACTCAAAAATCCCTAGGGTAATGTGTCGTTTATTCAGGCATTTTATGGAGGTTTATTGTGAAAGTCGTAAACACGTCGTTTGTGCTTGGCTACCTTGTCAACGCTTTCCTTTGAAATGAAATATGCAAATTGACTCCCGGTATTCAGTGTTAATAATAATGTGCGACAGCATCTTGTTAATAGGTTTTTAGTCGTCAAAACTTGTTGGATTGTTTATGTATTTTTATTATTGAGTCAGAGGATGGTTATTTTTGTTTAAAACTCATCTTTTGAATCAACAGATGCTGTTCGGTAAGTGTTAAAAAAGGGAGTTGTGATTTTTCAGGTTAAAGGTCATTATTAAAAGTGATCTTTGTGCAATTTCAATAAAGCTTTCTACGAGTATAGTACGTTTGCTGCTCGCTCAGTAAACTGAACATGTGTATAGAGGAGGGTATTTTTATGTTTATTACAATAAACTTACTTATTTGAAGTGGAATATTGATAGTTTTACTGTTTTCTGCACGATATTGTTATACATTTATTATTATTTCTTATAGGCATTCATTTCTTGCTGCACCTCAGATGTTAAGTTGTTCTAAACGTTACATTGTCGGAGCCACTTAAAAACTTCAATGATCGTTTAAATGTGGTCATTTTAATTTTAATGTTTTAAATAATTAGTCGGCTTTCATTGGTCACTAGACGTTTGTGGGGCGGATAGGATATACACGGTGTTATGTCACGTGATGGTTCATCGGGTATAGTGCTTGAAGCAAGCGATTAATTGTTGTGTTCTGTAAGTTATACACCTTTAATATTAGTTTCATTTGCAATAGTGATTAAAGTGTTTATACATACATATTATTTTTATCAAGATATTTTTATATTTATTCTTCCTAAGATATATTCTATATTATTATATGATTGTTAGCTTAATATTTGGATTCAGGATTAACTTAAATCTCCAAGCTGACCAAACCTCATTAGGTTATATTGAGATACTGTCCGAAAATATCATTAAAGGCGACAGTACCCAAGTAATGATTCAATGCAGTTTAATCAGTGTTAGTAAAAACTGTATGTTAAATTAGTTATTTTCGTCACTAGGTTGATTTTAGTTCGGATCTATGAGAATAGCTTGCTTTAATCAGAAATTGTAGATAATATATGTTAAGCCATCAGAAGTTATTAATTTTAGCTTACGTGATTATATTAATAATAATATAGACACCAAATGCAGTCTTCGGATGTTTAGTTTTTGTTTTTGAAAGTGACTGTTATGAAAATACTGTAGGTTGTAACGACCACCAACGGTTCAGTGAAAATGTAATCATACATGATGTCACTGTTAACTTTTACCGAAGTGCTTCATGGTCTATAATCATATGTGATCTTGACACTATATCAACAGCTATACTCACAACATGACTACAATACATGTAGCTTCATGACACGTTCCAGAAGATTATTATTTTTTCTTCTGCTATAAATCTATTCCTACAACTTCCAGGCACACTGATTGATGATCTATTCCATGCAGCAAACTATCACGTGGAAGTTATAAATAATGTACCTACCAGAACAATCACAGCATAAATGAATACACATTGGACGTAAAAAAATATACAATATTTATAAATATATATTTAGGCAGCCGCCGACGTATACGTTGGCCATAATAAAATACTTCCGTTATTGAAGCAGTTTCAGGAGTGTTTGTGATACAGCTTATTCGACAGGTTTTGCATTTAGTAACGCATGGAACGAGTTTGTTGATTAACCAGTCCTGGCAGCATACAAGAAATTTTTGACTGTAACAGTAACGTGTTTTGTCTCTGAGACAGCATGTATACGAAAATACAGCCGGTTGTAATGAGCATGAAAATAAAAACGTTTTTATTAACATTAAGTGAGACTTAGCAATCAGTATTTTTTTTTAAACTTTACAAAAATTTATGAACTTACTATTTAAAATCTATATAGTCAAGAAGTAATTGTGTTTATTTGATTGGTATTTTAAATTGGAAATCAGCTCTACGAGAGGGGAAAAAAAAAGTTTTCCTCTGGAATATTAGATTGACTGTTTGAGCATAAATTTCACCCCAGGCTTTACGCATGCGCTTCTTATCTCTCACCTGTTTCAAACTCTAGTAATGAATTGTACCTCAACGGAAATGACATTCAAAACTACTTGGTATACGTCATGTAAATTACTGCTTTAGTCTGCTTTGTATGGACAGCCTGCGAAGGTCACCGAAACTGTACTGTGACAGCCAAACAATTAAATCACGCCCACTATACACCAAAAGTAAATGTTCCTTTACGACATTCGTGGTGGGTTTTATCTAAATCTTATAAGACGATTCAGATGTTGAATCGTTTTGTGTATCTTATGTTTCAGTGTTAGTTCTCCTCGTACATTACGAAATATACGTTTCACGAGTACCAAGAAGAGCTTCAGGAACTTTATGACTCACTGTAAAAAAAAAACAACCTTTCACACCTGAATTACAGTCATTGGCTACCCTAGTTGTCCTTCAAGTTTCTCGCTTCCAACACTGCTAAACTGAGGGTGGTTAGAGTAAGAGTATATTGATGGCTGAGGCCTATTCGTGCAATACGACATCCTCTCCACACGCCACTTAGTGACGGTTTTGTTCAAGTGAAGTCACAACTTGAAATATATATATCATTGTTCGACCTATTTCGTTATACTTCTGTTCCATATTTTGGAATAACAAGAAAACGGTAAGTGTACAAATGTTTTGTGAAAACAACTTGCTTTATACGCCAGTCCTTTTTATTTACATATCGTGTTTTCAGAAAAATATACATTTCGTTGAATTGCTTTGAAGATATCACAAAATGTCGTACATGCCATACGCAATATTAGCTGCTATGTGTATTCATATTACTTTTACCTTATTGCTTTTTAAAGCGTTGAATATTTGAATACAGTGATATATAGTAGTCACGTTTTAATGTTAAATTTAAAACTATCCATATGTTTATGCTTGGTTTTCTGTTATTATACATATAAGTATAGATTTATATGACTATATATATATATATACATATATAAACGTGTATGTGTGTGTGTGTATTATACTTTATACTTATAGGAATGATTTGTGTATGTTTTTACAGCAAGTGAATATCATACTTATAACTGTTAAAACTAATAAAACATATATTAAAAGTCTTGCTTCTAAATTCTAAAGGCCTGGTTTAACTTAGTGGTGAGGGTGCTCGACTCACAAAATGCAGGTCGCGGCATCTAAACCTATCGTCGAACATGCTGGTCTTTTCAGCCGTGGAGACGTTATAATGTGATAGCCAGTCCTATTATTCGTTGATAAAGACTAGCCAACAGTTAGCGATGGGTGCTTCCCGCCGTTGTCATTCCTTTGGTCAGTAATTTAAAATTGTGGACGGTAGTAGGTTGTTCTGCCATAAACAAACGTACCAACTTGCTTGTTTATGATTTAGTAACTTCCAATATCGTTTAAGTGGGGAAAAGTGGATTATGTAAAACTGCTTAACCAAACATGAAGTTAAAACTCAGCAACAACATAAAGATTTGATGATAAATATTACTATTAGTTTGTCTTATCCCTCGGACATGCTATTAGTGAGAGGCTATTAAAACTTTTTTTCAATCCGCAGGATCAGTTTGAATTAGAATTTAAATATAAATTGTTAAATCTTATTGCCCGACTTTGAGCGCAAGTAAAATAAATTAACAAACGCAAACTCTCACTAAATGAATACATTAATATATGCAATCTAAAACTTGGCTCATTTATTTTTGAAGCTTTTATTCAATGAAGCATATCTTTCTCTCTCTCTCTTTTCTTTGTCCGGCGAAAACATCAAATTATAATTAAATCTTTATCCGTGGATACTTGATCAAGCGTGCAGAAGTGATTGAATGTCCAGCTTTTATTATGTTTGAGAGACCGCTCGTTATGTACTTCATATTGTGTATTATCAGTTTGTATTTTCAGCGTAGATTATGAAAAATGGTAAAGTAAGCGACCAGTTCGACGTTTATTTTTTAGATTGCAGTTGTTAAGAAATACTTTTTAGAGATTTATTAAAATTAATTGTACTTGTAGCTAATCTTGTATTTGACTGTCGTTATTAGGTAGTTTTTGTAATTGTCAGTATGTATGAGTCTTGTTAATTATCTAGTATCAGTATAAATCTTTAATTGTGTTTAAATACTCTGTCTGTGTACGATATTACACAGTGTTTTATGTTTTTTCATTATTCTGTTGGATGTCAGACACTCTCCTTGTTTTACATATACTAAATGTAGAAACAGCAAACACAGTTCCACTGACGAATTAATTTAATTAGTTGTACAACTATGACAACACCGTCTACAGCACAGAGTAAACCGGTCATATTACATAGAGTATAAGCTGTTCGGTACTGCAGCTTAAGAGAATACTTGACGCATGTTTAAGCACATATAAAAGTTTCAACTTAAAAGTCATCAGGACATTAAGAATTTCGATAAAACTTAAATTCTTATGTTTTTCAGATGTAGAAGGCACTTTACCCAAAACATTTTATTGTGTGTATCAAGACCTTAAAAGTTTATTCAACGCATTAACAAGTTTTGTGGACTCTAATAATAGCGTTTATGGTTTTAACGGTAAATGTGTTTTATAATGTGTGCATTAGTATTATATTAATTATGAAAGTTATTTGGTATACCATATTTATTTTCTCCCAGTTTTTCAACTGTAATGTTATTCTTAGTCGTTTACTTAACCCAGTGTTTTCCAATCTTTAAATAGCAGCGCCCTCCTCCACATTAATATAATTTTCACAAGTGATAACAATAAAATCAACGTTTAACCAGTTTAACCGAAACAAAGCGGGGGAGGGGGAACGAAAGAAACACATTAGATCCTCGGTTACTTTTTATGTGTTTAACAAAATTTCTAAATAGTTGAACTAAAAAGTACTTAATTTAACGTTTCAATTAAATGCTCGTAGAAACCAGTAAACAGCCACCTCTGTTACTATATATTTTATATTTTTAGTTCTACGTGTAGAAAAACGGGATTTTATTATTAGACAAATGTATATTCGTTTTGGGTGCAACAGGAATACGAATAAGATTTTGAAGATCACGAGAAACTGAGGAGAGGGAGTGACGTCAGTATATACAGCGAACATTGTTATTTAGAAGTTCCTATAACGTGTTTTTTTTTAAGAGTGGTGCATCTGTTTGTGTAATATTAATTTTTTATGTTAAATGAAAGACTGAGAAGAAGCTGATTTGATTAAAATCGTTTTCTTATATTTAGTATAGTTGTATTATCGTGGATTAGTGAGTGGGAAGAACAGTAAACTCGTTTCATATCTACAAAGTCGTATCAGGTCGTGCATCACACAAGTTGTGTATTTTGGTGTTCGTGTAAATACACGAATGACGTGGTAACGGTTTCGTAATATTTTATTACAGTGAGTGCATTCTAACGTTCATACAGAATCACATAGATATACACGAAATCTCGAGTTTTAAGATTTTTTTCTTCAAGTTTTGATAATTTCATTATCTACACAAATAGTCTGTTGTGTAACCTTGCGCTTAAAAAACAAACAACAAACAAACACGCATCAACCTGTAGGCCATGTTCAAGGTTGTTATTCGGCCAAAGACCTTTGCGTTAAATCGACCACCAGCCACCTTAACTTTAGGGCAAATACTTCAGTGTTAACCACATCACTGAACATGTTTTTTAATTAACCTTTTGAAAAGAATGAAACAAAGAAGCGACTTTTGCACTTGTACCTGTACGTCTTTTTAAAAATACAAAATGGTAAACGGTAAAGGTAAATAACTAAAATCAAGAAAAAAAAATGTTGTTAATTTCTCAACAAAATTTCCTATTTTGAGTGAACGTGCATACACATTTTATTTCTTGTTTCTCTTTAAACTGTGTTTAATTCGTATAATTTGAAAAATAACTTACGCTTATGATTTAATAACGTATTCTAACGGTGAAACTGATTGTATCCACACACGTGTGTGTGTATA